ATTTCTAAGTAAAATATGTTCAGCATATAAAAAAATATATAATCTTATATTTTTTAAACAAATTTATTAATTATTAAAGCTTAGATATACTCTAGACACTTGTGGACACTTGGACATTGGACAGTATCAAAAAAGCCTTTGGACAGTCAAAACGTACAACACTGGTTTATAGATTTCGTGAAGAGTTAAAGCGTAGTAGTACTGTAACTGTAAAACGATTATTAAATAAAATTAAAGATCAGTTTGATATTGAAGCGTACTATATGTTTGTTTTTGACTATTTTTTATTAGTCATTAGTGTTCTGGAATAGGTTTAAACATTTATTTCATACATTTTTCGTTTTTTGTTTATTCTTGGTTCGTTTTTCTTTTTTGATTTGTAGTATGTTATTATTTCTTTAATAAATTTTGGTTTGTCGGAATTTTGTCTGGGATAAGATTATATAGTTTTAGATTTAAAGTTATTGAGATTTCATGATAAAGGACTTATGCTGGAATTAATTTCATTATATAGATATAGTTATTTTGATACATATCAGTTTTTTTTATTCGTGACGCGATTAATTTCGATTAACCAATAAAATTTTTCCTATATCACTGGATGATCTACAAAAATTGGCCAATCACAATGAAAGCCCGCTATTTGGGGGGGTTTTAATGATACCACGTGAATTTGTCTATAACAATAAGCGCGAACGTCATACGTGTACCCATCAATAATTATTAATATCATTAAAAATAGACATTTTAAAAGACTATGACAACAGCTACTTGCGCACAAATGGGCCTACTTTCAGAGCCTTTATGCCCCAAAGCCATATTTTGGACAAACCTTATTTTATTGGGGTTCAACCCTTCAGAGCTCGCAAAAGGCACATATTCAACAGTCACCTTTGATAAAGATGTCTTCACTAAAGGCTCACCTAATTCAGTGAAAGCAATGGAGTTGATAGTATGGTTTTTATTTAAAAAATTGGACGACTCGTTGACTACGGCGGTAATTTGAATTAATATTTAGCATATTCGAACTTCATTTAAATAAGATTTATATAAAACAAGAATAACTTTTATAGAAATTCTCATGTTGGCCAATTCTTGATTTACCATCAAGTTTGCAATTTCGGACAGCAGCGTACAAATGGTTAGATCAATTGAAAAAAGATGGATGCCTTGGAAATACGGATATTGTTTTGAGACGTACATTGTTTGATGAATGTCAAGGCGAAAGGTGAATAAAATGAAAATCACAAATGCAGACTCTTTAAGGTCGGGTATAGTCCTTTAATTCGAACAATTATAAATAGATTCGAGCGTTTAATAATGGCCTTTTCGAATCACGTCTTAAAAGTAACAATGGATAGAGATTACCAACATTACAATCGAGGTAATTGATTGGTTTATAGCAATGATTGTAAAACAAGAAACAAATTCTAATATATTTTTCATGTTTCTAAAGTACCGAAAATTGGATTCACGGAACTTAAAGAATCGGCACCGGAATTATTGAAAGGGATTCTAAAGGTATTCAAGATAATAAGCATGAATGGAGGATTAATGATTATCTATTATCAAAGTAAATTTTGATTAATTTTTGAATAGATATATATAAAAATGCAAACAGATAACTTTTTGCAGAAGACTAGAGAACGTGCGGCCTGCCAGAGTCGATGGAAAAATTTGGCAGAGAAACTTTCGAACTACGAGACCCACCAGAAGACAACTTATCTCTTCTTGAACAACAAGAAGATAATCTACCTTCACTAGAGTA